TGGAATCATTTTATGATTCTTTCAGAAGTGGCTCTTGATTAATCTCATGTAATATATGTCAAACCATTACCTGGCCTCATCTACCAGAAACTTGTCTCCAGTGCAGGTGAAGTTCTCAACGTATCCTAGAGTTTTACAGTTAATACGATCCCACTCTGGTTTGCATACAGCCAGGAAGTTTGGCCGCAGACGACCAATGGAGTACTTGGCGATGTCCGTCAGAGACTGGCTAGCAGCGGCTCCAAACACGTAGCTCCCCACCGCTTTGTAGACGCACGCCACATATTTGGTCCCTAAGGACTGTTTCTTGACGCGAGACAAATAAACAGAAAGGCACTCGCCACAGACAACCTGCAACAGAAAAGATATTTAATCCTTGAGGAATATTTTGAAAGTAAACAGTCGTGTCCAAATAAAGAAGTAGAACAGTGACTTACCACAATCAGTGTGAAGGGGATCATGACTCCTCCCAGCAGCTGGTAGGAGATGGTGTCCTCTTTGAGCGGGTACCTGATGGACTCATCGTTACAGAAGAACCCCCGTTTGAAAGGGTTGTGTTGTGGGGTCAGGATGAAAAACGGAAGTCCAACTGTTAAAATAAAGAAAGAGACAGACGATGACTATGACTGAACGTCTGGTTACACAAGCAGCGAATACGACACAATACTCTGATGACCGACTGTTATTGTTGCAGCATGCTTATGATTAAGTCACAGGAAACAGGACATGTTGAGATCGCACAGGGACTTAACCTCTTAAAAAAAGGCACGGCTGAGTTTTTTTCATTCGCGGCTCACGTGAGTTTCATTTAGCAACAGGTGAACTGATCTGTGTTTGAGAGCACAGATGTTGCACAATAACTGAATCAGGCGCCCCAGGCCTTGAATTTCAGCATAGCAATATGACAAAAAAAACAAAAGTGAGGACATGATGGAGCCACACAACCTTTATTGGGCATGTTCATGTCATTCAGCGTAATGAACCTAAGTGAGTATGATCAGGGAGAATGATCTGCACGAGAATGGACATCAGAACACATCAAGCAAGCTCTGAGTTGCTATGGTAACACGTTATTCCTATCCTCTCACAATTTGTTCTAGATGCAGCTTCCCTGAAAATCACAACCGAGATAAGAACCACGACTGTCGGCTGCAGTCGGTAATGCCTTCCTGGGCGTTCTCCCAGGTCTGATTACTGGCATCTATGTTTTGGGGCAACATGAGTTAACACACCAGTCACAGGCCTTTGTTGAGGCCTGTTAGTTTAAACCCACTGCAGATCGAATTACACTGACTGCAGTCTTTTGAAAATCTGGACTAAAGCTGAGTGGGAATGACAACAGGGGACTGAGCTAATGTGATCATGGAGTTAATCTTTCAAAATACTATTTACTGCGACCAGGATGAGTCTGTGGCCCACCGGAAAATAAGTCAAAGATAAGTGCTACAAAAAAAGGTAGCGTAACGAGGATTTAGAGTGTAATAAAGGAATCGTATTCATTATTTCATTCTTTATTTCAGTTATTTTTGATTGTGTGCACTAGAGCCCAACCAGTATAGATTTCTGAAGGACAACAATGATTATGAAATATTTCGGATTATTAACAATGAACTTTATGTTGAATAACTATAAATCAAAATCAAACATTAATACAACCAAATATACAGGACTTAAACTAAAACATGTATATATGGGGCGAAGATATTTATAAGGATTTATATATTATGTCCGTGTGACCCCATTAAATGAGATGAGGAAATTAAATTGTATATGACAAATTTTAATATCGCAACATGATAACAGACGACTACTGTAAAATCAAGAACTTAAGAACTAGAAAATTGAATCGCGTAAACAAGTAACTGAAAACACACTCAGTTGGGAATAACTACTGACTGAAGTTCAGTGTTGACATAGTGTTTTGAGTATTATGTACACAACGCAATGGACTACACTCTTGTTTTATATTGATACGACACTGTAAATAGAGGTTATTGCTGCAATCTCCAGAATAATATGAGAACATAGGTTTACTGTTTTTTATTGTGTATCTGGGATTCAAAGCTTTTTAAATGTGTTAACTTCAGTGTCCCTGCAGCAGAGTCGGACACATTTCACAGTCCTGCTGCAGCATGTGTCTGTGCTGTGATTACAGTCCAAACACTGAGCTATAAATAAAGCTTTGCTTGGAAAAAAAAAAGAGAAACACACACAGGGTGGGACTTTGTTGCGTTTTTTTTTCCATCTTCCTGCCTGGTTCCCTCAACCATGGCCTATTTCTGTGGCGTTCATGCAAATAAGTTTGAATGCATTTGCTTAAACAAATTCCTCACGAGTTAACTCCTTCTATTTGTGTTAGATAAATAAAGAAAGAGTGTGAAGCCCCTTCTAGGAATAAACAAGAGGGATTAACCAGGCAGGGGATTATACACACCGAGGATGAGGCATGTAACGTCCAGCAGGATGAGAGGGATCCCTGAGGCTTCAAACATGTTGCGTCCTCCTCTTCTTCCTCCTCCTCCTCTTCCTCTGGTGTCTGTCTTGGTAAAAAATAAAAAAGTCCGGTCCTCTGGGTCCAGGCGCTCCGGACTGTCCCGGCTGTTTTCAGGCGAGACGAGACGCAGCTTTTCTGCCGCACATGTCTCACTATTCCAGCAGGGAAATTCAAAACACCAGAATCATTGTCCTACCAGGGGGACAGGAATGTGTCCCAGAAATTACAGCTACCAGGAAAAAACTAAAGACTAAAGCTCTAGATCTACTCTAACACCAGCACACAGAGCCTCTCACCCTTCTGTCTGCGCACACACCATCATAATAACACTGGGCTCATCCTCCTGTCCTGTCCTCACAAGAGACATGTCCTCTGCCTCTGAGCCCCTCCACTGAGTCATCACGCATTCACGTTAGGCTCGGAAAAACCAGTGTTGCAGGGGAAGCAGCTGGGTGAAGGTCAATCAGAAGCAACACCAACATTAGTTTGGTGAAAAGGTTTCGTTTGTATGTTTGCTGTAGCCTTTATGTATATTATCAATTATTTATTATCAATGATCTATTTTCATTAAAGCACCTTTCATACTCAATGTCCTGTAAAAACAACACAGAATCCAAATTCAAAGGAAACTATTTAAAATCTTAAAGCACAGTATTTTCAAATATAAAACAAACTTGTAAAGTTATTCTAAAGTGAGATAATCCTTAATAAAGCAATCAAGGAACTTATATATACAGTGTAAACAGTAATTCACATATAAGACGTTGAAATTGTAAAAGTTTGATGCTGGTGCACCTGGAACAGAAAAGTATGAGGATTGTATCTAAGGGCGAATGTTGTATTTCCCATTAGACGGATAAAGTATAATAAAGTATAGAATAAATATTAAAAAATGTATTAGTTTACTGTGAGACACATACAATGAACCGAGTCTGCCTTTTGTGGTTGAATGAAATTGTAGATCTGTTTTAGTCAAATAGGCTAAAATATATTATTGACCTGCTTTATTCATCTCTTGCACCAGGCAAAATGTTGCTATGGCATTTATTTGGATTTTAATGAACATTGTTAGTAGAGTAGAATGTATATAATAAATACTTTCTGTTTCTAACATGTTGCACAGCTATGAGCAGTGGTTCCATTGACTACTGATTATATAATACTTTCTGCTGTCTAGTACAGTCCGTGACCACAGTCATCCTAACCGGAGTACAATTCTGTTTGCCAAGTAAGCACAGTCATGGCTGCAAAATCTTTCCCTGAAAAAGTCTTGTTTGAATTTCCGAGGTGTATTAGAACGCACCATGGGATAGGAAGTGGTAATGAGAGTTTCCTGACTAATCACGTGGCTGCTTTGAGGCTACGACACCCGTCTGCTGATGCAGAGCTGCTCCTCCCCACCTGAGCGTCTGCAGCAATGACTGTAATGAGGTTACTTCTGCATCACTACTAATAGAAGAGACTCCACTGTCCCCTCTTCAATGCACCAGACAGACCACATGCAGCTGATAGAAGAAGTCACCTTCTGTGTGGTCTGTAATATGAAAACAGTCCCATTCACTTTTTAATACAAGGCTTTGGTGTGAATAATAATTTTAAATAAATCTCTGCTGAAAGTAATAACAGCATGTTTAAGTTAAATGTACAACAAATGCAATGCATATAGTACAGTAGTTATATCACAATGGAAAAATATTCAGTTATAAGTAAGTAATTGTATAAGCAGTGTATTGGTTCAAAGTTTATTTTACATTCAGATTCTCTTACACCCTGTAACTTTAAACTGTAAGTTGAGTTAGCGTTCCAGTGGAAGCTCAGTATTCACGTCAGATAATGTTTTGACCTCACCTGTCGAAACGCTACGTTCACTAAAGCAAAGAGTGGGATAGTTTGTAAGATCCCTGTATCTGTGTGTTTTATGAGTGAAACCTTAATCAGCAATGAAAATAATTACATTTATAAAAATGGATATATCTTGCAGGCTAAAAGTTTGGGATTGAAAAGAAGCTAATTGAAACCTCAGTAAATTCTAGAACTTGAGGGTAATTTAATTCAGTGGAGAGGCTCCATCAAGGTGCTTCCCCACTTTAAGTCCACTGACTATCAGGGTGTGTGTTTAAAGAGGTGAAATTCAATTGTCTATTGATTTCTAACTTGTTGTTTGGTTGAAGGTGTTGGAGAAACTGTTTTCTATGGACCCCTGTGACAAAGGAGGGAGGGAGAGTGAAGTCAACGTGTGGCTCCTACAATGAGTGTGTTTGTGTGTGTGGGGGGGGTGCGGGGGTTCTGATGAAACCAAAGTTGTATTTTGCATTCTGCAAAAACTAAAAGGGCAAGAAGGAAAAGATGGTGATGAAACTTAGATGTCACATGTTTGCATTTTTTATTCTTACCAATAAGAAAAGATGTTCATGTTCTTAGTAATGTTATTTAAAGTCAAATCCTTCCTGGAAACGAATGGGTTTAACCCGTCAGTGGTTAAGAGAACATAAAGGAGACAAATGGATCCCACTGTCCATACTTTTATTCATACAAATAAAATGAAATCAAACACACTTTATTGTGATGTCAAGTCACTGAACCTTTTTGTTCTCACTGATATAAATAATTAGAACAAATCTCTGACCTCTTCCTGTTCCCTGTCATGATTACATAAATTATCATGAAAACCATGACATACATGTAAATCATCACAATCTCTGAGTCAGTCCTCATTGTCCTCCTCGTTGTGCTCCTCGTTGTGCTCCTCGTTGTGCTCCTCGTTGTGCTCCTCACTTCTGCTGCTTCTTGGAGTTCAGATGAGCATCTATCTCTGATTTGAAGAAGAGCTCCCCCAGCTGGCTGTGCGAGGCTTCGCTCATGGCTTTGGTCTGCATGCACATCTTGTACTTGTCAGGAGGAAGCTCGTCCGCACAGTTCTTCTCATGCCACAGATGGAAAAGGCCTCGAGACGGAGAGCGAATCACCATCAGCTTACTGTGGAGGTACTTCCTGTACAGGTGCACGTCCTCCAACCCCCAACCTTTAATGTTACGGTCAAAGCCGCCTGTCATGAAAAGTTCAGACACATGAAGAAATGGTTTCATTGTGACCCGAGTTATGTTTGGTAAGTGACTGAAATTTTTGAGTTTGTCTCAAATGATGTATGAACAAGTCAAAGGTCAGGGTTGTAATGATCGCCCTGGTGGCTGGCTGCAGTATAGGTCAGTAACCCCACCTCCTCCGTGTTAGCAGATGGGACACAGGCCCAATTAAAAGTCAAACACGTGTCAAATACAATTTTCTTGCTTGTAGTTTCTGTAATTTTAGGAGTTCGCTTGTCAGTTTGGTTTTAATCAGGTATTTGATGCTCCAGAAATGGGCTGAAAATGTTATCAGTGCAAGATGGCAGCGTTTTGGCTTCACTTGTGGAAAGCAGGAGGAAGTGGATACGGTCGTGGAATTTTTATATAAAAATTCACAAAATCATGTACTTTTATGCCTTTGTACAATTTGGAATAAACAGATATCAGTAATGTGTAATCATGTTAAGTCTTGCAAATGATGAAATAGGGAAAGTCACTTCACGACAAAAGCTTTTACCAGAATCAGAATCAGAATCAGAAAAGCTTTTATTGCCAAGTAAGTTTGCACATACATGGAATTTGTTTTGATGTTGTTGGTGCATGTCAGGCATCTCTACTTACCTATGTTGATGAAATCAGACCTGTACTGACATGTCATGCCAAACCCAAAGTCTCTCCAGAATCCTGTTTCCTTCCTTATCACCTAAGAGAGAGAGAGAATATGGAAATCAGTCTCTTACTTTGTGAAATCATTTTGATCTCACTCATTCAAGTGAATTTAGCTGTTGATATATTTATACTTTGTACCCACCAGCTGCTGTTGAATAGAGGGGAGAAGTGTGTGATTGCTGTAGATGATAGATGGGTTGTACTGACTGAAGAGAACTGGGTAATACACTTTCTTACCTAAAGACAAAAAAGAAAACACACTTTCTGTTTTAAACACCTACTGTCAAGATATTTTTTCTCTCTCCTTCTTTCCAACCAGTAAAAAAATAATCAGTGTTTGATGCATTTTTCATCAAACGGCATTTTTCAGCAGCAGAGGTTTGATTGGAGTGAGAAGAAAGAGAAGTGGGTATTGTCAGTATGAGCAGTGATAACTCACAGGTCTGAACAAAGAAAATGGAAGATTAACTTTAACCCCAGTGACTCAAATTACAGAAATGGGCATAATGACTGGTAGATAAACATTTCAACTTAAAGATCCAGGCAGGTCCTCATACCAGTCTTTCAGATTTTTTTCCTGTTTATTATTCTTCTCCACTTTATTCCTGGTCCTATGAGGAATTTAGTAATTAACGCTGTCAGTTACAGGTCTTTGTTTGTGCAACAGGTGTCTCACCTTTCCGTAAATATTTTGGAAAGAACAGAATGGCACTTAGTATAGACCGCTTTCCTCCGTCAAGCCCCAACAGTTGTTTTATTAACCCACATTTTAATTCACTCAATCCAGATTCTTATCAGCACCAAATTGCACACTCATTGGTATCAATGATATCCTTAATGTGCCTCATTAGTTTTCATTAAGATCCAAATATGTTGAAAAAACTCTCCTCCCTGACTCATGCTGCATCCTTCCAACAAGTTCTGTGGTGATCCGTCCAGTAGTTTTTGTGTAATCCTGCTGACTAACAAAGAAATGCAGATGAAAACATAAACTCCTTGGAAGAGGTAATTACCCAGAGTATGTTATCAGAGAATATTGTCATGGGCACAGACAGGAAGAAGTCTCTTCAACCCTCCTGTAGGACCACTAAAGTGTTTGTGCTCATTTGTTGTATCTGTGTGTTTAAGAAACTGCTGGTTTTAATAAAGCACATGTTAATGTCTCACACTGCTCAAAGTGAGTTGTTTTCGTCTCTCACCAGGCTCTGCCTTGAGACGACAGGACGTTAAGAAGTCAGCTGTGAAGTGGATGTCAACATCACAGAAGAAGAGCAAGACATTCTGACTCCGCCTCCAGGCCCTGGCGCCCACGTCCAAGCCTCGACCACGAGAAAACTCCTCGTTCAGCTGGATGAGAGTGAAGCTCCTGAACCGAGTCTCTCTGAGGGACAGAAGAAGAAGAGGTGGAATAATCTCTGTGTGTGACTTGACAGGTTTTATGGAACTTCATGGACAAAATATCTGCTGTGCAGCACAGACACACTGTAAAACTAAATCCTAGAAGAGTTGAGAAGAGGACACACATTTGTGTCTGGCAGTAATCTGTCTCCACTCTTTCACATGATATTAATTGTCTCATCAGTTTGTGCCATCACATGTTATTATCATGAGAAAGGTCACATGACTTTGATTTAATGACTCTGAAGACAAACACTTTTTAAAAAGGTTTAGAATCACACCAGGGACCTGTCCCAGATCACAGGGCGGCACTGCAGGTTCATGTTGTTTCAGGGTAGCGTTCGTAAAATAAAAGACGTTACCTGGTGGTCTGGTCCAGCACAGCTTTCACTTGGTCTATCTGATCCCGACCAAAGTAGACGACAGTGAGATGGACCCGTCCGTCCTGCTTGATGCAAACTTCTCTGAACCAACAACACACAAGGGACATGTTAGAATCCACCTCTATGTGACCTCATCCAGCCATAGCCACACGTTTATCTGTGCAGCATCTTTACCAACAAGGGAAGTCAAAGTCATTTACCTTTCCCAAAAGAGGCATGAAGAAACGCAATGTGACAAAAAAACACATTTTAATTAAAAATTGAACAAAACAACAGATAATGGAGATTTAAATGGTCCCAAGCTAAACTTCCTGAAATGCATTGGCTTATAAAAAAAAGTATTAAGCCCTGATTTAAAAGAACGAGAAATTGTATCGTGGTTTAGTTGAATGCTGCCTTTTGATGCATAGTTTGGACCCTGGGAACCGTTGGTGGCTCTGTGCCTGACCACCTGAGTGATGTGTTTGGTTCATAACAGAGAGGCAGATCAGAAATGTACTTTACCCATTAAATAATCCAGAAGTCTTCATTAACCAGAAGCTCTGTCGTCCTCTACAAAAGGTTGAGATTGTAAATAAAGTGCATAGAGGATTCATTTTTCACAGTTTGCTGAGTCTCTCATCTCCTCTTCTGTCTGATTATTGAGTTCCACTGATTAACACCTCATCTTTCAGTGAGCTGAGCGTATTAAACAGACAACTCAAGTCTTCAAAGATAAGTAGAGCAATTCGATTCACGTCCGTAAACCTTTAAATTTAAAAGTTTCTGCTTTTCTGTAAAGTGGCTCTAGATTAAGATGAGGTTTCCCTCACAGGTTCTGCAGTGAACAGGGGGGCAAGTGTTCATTCGTTACCTGAAGTTGTTGATGAACTGCCTGAATGCGTCCGGCCTCTTGGACAGAGGAACAATGATGTTGATGATGATGCTCCGAGTGTCCACACTCTCGCTCTTCACCTTCATCACGGGGCCGAATGGTCTGAAGAGCACGAGCTGCGTGAACTCCTGCGGCCCGTCGCCTTTAAACATCAGCTCATAGACGGTTCCTCTGTCCCGCTCTGTACGAGTCAGCCCTGTGACAAGAGGAGGAGAAGGATTCCATCAGTTTTATTAATCAAATTCTTAATTCATTATTAATTCAAACCTGTATTTTATTTACAGACGGTCCTTATTTTATGTTGATGTGGTGATCATTTAAAACCACCTCTGAGTAGAGTTGAAAACTGAAATCACTACTTTAAGATTTGGTTTGATTTAAATCACTGTCACAGAATATAAGTGAGACTAAATTCTTGATTGTTGGGAATCAAACAACAAAGAAAACTTTGTAAAAATGAAGCTGGAAGTTTCAAAATTGGGTAAAATGAAGGATTTTCTCCAGCTTGATTATAAACTGTATACTGTTCCAAATATAACTTATGGGTAAGAGGTATTAATATTAATGTGTGCCCTGCAGTCTGTTCTGCAGTTGTTGCTGCATCAGTATCAGAACCTTCTCTGTACTGAAACTGATGCAAAGCCAATGTCTCTGGATAAGTATCTGGTATATGTAATAATTTCTTTCATGGTGAATTAATCATTAAACTAAATTAAAAATGTGCAGAGCGCTTCTCTACACTCAGCTCATAGCACTTTACAGCTCAAGGATCTTTCACTGACTCATACACCCCTGAGCAAAATCCATACTGATAAGTGGATACTGATCAGCCGTCCACCATGTAAAAAACACCAATAAGATCAACGTGTGAATAAGTAGATGTTTCTCACCCTCTATGAAGTCTGAGGGGGAGTACGTGCGTTTGCGCCTGGTGTTGTCCGTGTGCTGCTGAGGTCCGTTCAGGACGTGCAGAGCCGTCTCCACGGTGCCTATCAGCTCGTCCCTGCGGTCTCTCCTCACAGGCCTCTCCTCAGGGTGCCTGGTCAGCCCCGTCTCCAGCTGGTACACCCTGGGAGATGCAACAAAAACCCCACACACACAGTAAGTCTGACAGCTCCACTGTTGCTGTCCTTAACGGTGGACGACTGGCCCCCTCACCTGTGCAGAGTTAAAGTGTCAAACGGAATCACTGCGTATTCGCTGGACAGCTTCGTACCGGAGTTGACCTCCGCCTGGTTCAGCTGGGAGCGGAAGAACTCCTGCAGGACATGATTTATCAATTACTACTACACCTGTAATGTCACATTTCATCTCATCCGTCAACTCTGTGTTTCTCTTGCATCTCTCCACCTGTATCGTGTTCTCCTACCTTCAGGTCAGACTGTGTCGGGGTTTTGTGCAGACTCTCCAGACCCTGGGGCAGAATCCCTTTGGTTTTGGCTTTATCCAGGGACTCCTGCAGCTGCTGCGTCCTCTCCTGCAGAGCCTCCTTCAGCTGGGCTATCTGCTTTGTCAGGCTGTTGATGTAGTGTCTATGAGAGTCCTCTCTCTCCTGCAACAAGGCCATGTATCCCTCCTTGCTGGTCGCCCCTCCAGACCACAGCAAAGACTGCTGGCTGCGGCGAGACGCAGGTTTACAGGCCAGGAGGTAGAACAGCGACAGACAGCAGCATAGACCTGCCACGATGAGGCCAATGCGGGCCGTCAGGGCCAGCAGCCACCGTTTAAACATGGTGGGTTGTCTTTTGAATAGTTTTTAAACACTTGGGGCTTATAAAATCATGGCTGTGCTTCTGTCATGTGGACATGCACCCACAAAAAGATGAGCAACCCACATCTCAGACACTATACATTAAAAAATATGGTTTTTAAAAAAGACGTCCTCTTGTTTTCTCATGTCGTCCTCATCGGTCACATCCACAGGCAGCATCTTCACTGGGTTTTAGGACGTGTATTTCTTTTGCACCAATGTTTTTGCGTCACTTTAAGTGTAAAGATCATCACCAGAGTGTTGAAACTCCCTATAATGACAGAAATATACATTTTAAAGAAGTGGTTCTCAACATGTTTGGCTACTTGAAGGATACTTTTGAGCGTTATTGCCTCCGACAAGGAGATTATGTTTTCCTCAATATCTGCTTGTTTGTCTGTTAGTTAGCAGCATTACACAAAAACCAATGGACAGATTACCAGAGATTTGATTCCACTTTCTTTAACATAGTGAGATTTGGCATTTTTCAGGTAATAATTCATTTTCATCAATCTTGGGGTTGCGCTTGAAACCTACCTGTGACCCATCAGGACGCAAACTGTCACCAGATTTTTCTGGATCCAACATTTCCCAAGGATGAGTCTACAGCCCTGTTGCTCTGTCTGGTCAAACTTTAGTACTTCATCTTACAGCTGTTGATATACTTTGTTTAAAAATCACAAATGTCAACCTCTCTGAAATAACACTAGTTAGTTTTATCTGGGGCCCTTGTGGGAACCGGCTCCCAGCTTGGTCACTGTTGTTCCATCAGAGATTATTAATCAGTCAAATGTGAAGTCATTCACCAGAGAAATCAAACAAACCGGTCCGGTCAGTCTTTTCCTGACATCCCTCAAATTTGTTTATGAGCAGCATATTTACCAGTCCATGGCACTGGCCCTCGTCTCTCTGCTGCTGGACTGTTGGTTCAGGTTTTCGTTTGGCTGCTGCAAAAATGCACACAGAGAAATAACCTGACCTTACATTCACTCTGAGTGCCACGACGCTGAAGGTGGGAAGCGACAGAAACAAGCATTTCTCTGTGTATCTCTCCACCCTGTGTGTGTGTGTGTGTGTGTGTGTGTGTGTGTGTGTGTGTGTGTATTGCCATCATCAGTTTATTCACAGCACAGTTGGTTCTTTATTGCTCAGGTAGAAGCTGATCTCATGAAAGACTTGCTTATGTTTCCAGGTCCACCCAAGCAGTGTGTGTGTATGTGTGTGTGTGCATGTGTGTATGTGAGTATGTGAGACGGAACATGTGTTGGTGATTTCAGTTGCATGTGTTCGTACCATGCAGACCCTTTTGAAGCAGAAGTGTTTTGGTCTCTGATTCCACCTTTACCATCATCTTAAATATTATAGTTGCGATTCTAATCTTTCATCTCTTGTGGCTCATATATAAATATAAAGGCTTCTCCTCATCATCATCTTGCTTTACTCAAAACAAGGTGCCATTTCAGATTTATGAGCTCTTATGATGAAACTCAAGCTGGAATCAAAGGCTGAAACATGTAATTGTGACCATAAAATACACATTTTCACTCTTTGAAGCTGAAGACAGAAATGTTTTAAAGAATATAGAGTGATACTCACCGGCTGGTGTGAATCAGAGGAAAGTTATGACTGAAAGTGCATCCTCCTAAACTGCATCCTCTGTCTTCCACTGCTTTCGGCAACAAAACAGGATCTTTATGTCAGCAGGCGTTCGTCAGTGAGGCAGGAACGCTGTGTGTCTGTTAGTGTCAGAACAGTTGTCCAGAAATGATGAAACAGCTCTCCAGCTTGTCAAAACTAAAGGCTGAGGTGACTTTACAGCTGTGAGCTCAACTGCTGAGGACCTCCTCTCCCTCTCTCATCCTCTCTCCTCTCAGTCCCCACCTTTTTCCCAGCACCTCCCTCTCCTCTCTCCATCAGACCCAGGCTTCCTCTGCACATCCTCAAGATACCTCACACCATCTGCCTTTATTCTGAATTCCCCCCCGGGTTCCTCAGAGGCTCCGCTCTGCCCCTCTGTCTAATTAGAAGGCAACCCGAGTAAGGAATGCCCCTTCAGTCCTCGATGCCACCTGCAATCTGTTGCAAGGAAATAGCTAGGTACCAGTCGGAGCCCACCAATAGGACGGGGTCTTGCACATTTAATGAGGCAGCGTACAGATGGTCCTTGTTTTCATTCGGATGTCGACCCCTGAGCTCTGACGCCTCTAAATGAGCAAGTTTGCTGCTATTTCCCCTGATTTATAAATGGAAATTCAGTGCATTTTAAATTGAAATTTGGTATATGAATCCGTGCATGTATTGTTATATAGTGTTTAATATTTAATTGTTATGATAAATGTTTTCCACTAGTTTTGAAGTGTGAATGTAATGATACAGTGATGAACAAATTCAGTGAAATTAATTGTCCGAATAATCAATCTTTATAACTGGAACATGTCAGTCTGACAATATATAAGAATTCACCTTGAGTGGTCACTGGCAACTTGTTAATGACCATCTTACAATGTTTTCTGTCATGTTTTAGTATAAAATATTGAAAGAATAATTATTAATTAGATTCAATTATGATGAAAATGATCTGTAGCCTTAATAAGATAGAAAAGAAAACAATACTGATATATAAGTTTGCTTGTTTTTAAATAATAATAATCACAATAGTAAGAGTGATAAGCACGTATTAGCTAAAGCAGTATAATAGTTTTTTTGCATTTGAAGTTTTAAAACAAAACTTGTTTGCATTCATAATCTCATGCACGGGACTCGGACGCAGAGTTTTGAGTGAGCTGACAAGGTTCAGGCTTTATTTGTCAAACAAATACATTAAACTGGCAAACAGAGGGCGCCTCAAAAAAAAGAGGGAATGATTACAAAATTATAAATGAAAATCTTACCTTCTGTGAGGGAATAAGCAAAAAAACAACACTTAACTGAAATCTCCTCCAAAAGAGGGAAAAAGCTATGAAGGTAAAAAATAAAACTCCTCCTATGAGGGACAAGCTGTAAGCAGTTACAAAATAAATCTGTTCCTAAGAGGGATAAACTATGAACCTTAACTGAAATAAAACTCCTACGATGAGACAACACTTCTAATATATAAACAAGAAATCTCCTCCGAAGAGGGACAAGATCAAAAGATTACTAGACTACACTAACCAAGAGAGCTATGAAAACTAGGAGGCAAAAGACCAACAGAAAACACTCTTAACGAGGGAACCGACTGTGACTAAGAACTTCTGACTATGACGAGACGAAAAGGCTGGTGGCACTCGACGAGAGGACAAGACACTGGCACAGGACAAACGGAGACGCAGACTATAAGCACACATGGAGGTAATGGGAAACAGGTGAGCATAATCAGGATGGGGGAAGACAATCAGACCGAAGCACATGAGGAAGTACAAGTGACCTGAAACGAGACAAGATTTACTTTCCAAAATAAAACAGAAAATCACATTACAAACATGGAGACAGGACGAAAACTTAGCTTGACCTCACATAAGACACATGAGAGACAAACAAACAACAAGAATGAAACTGACGTTATTTCATTTTAAATCTTCTATATATATTGTCTCCACTTGCCAGTGCCCCTGAAATTCCCCTTTTATTCATTGGTCACGATTGTTTATATTTCAGTCAATTTCCAGTTTTTATAGGTTCAAATATATTTAAATAAATATTTTTGATATTTCACCTGATGGTGGCGCCACATACACGACTATGAGGAAATCATGAAGCCAGAGAGGGGGGTGCGCAAAACAGACAACTGTATTTATTATTGGTCCAAGTTATTTACATCTGTTGGTTTACAAAATGTGGAATGTGGTCAGAATCAGAGTGAACGTTTTCTCTGGGTCATGTGCAACAGGACGTTTCTTATTTTTATTTTCTTGGCACACGGATGTGAATTCAACAGAGTCAACTGTGTGTGTGTGTGTGTGTGTGTGTGTGTGTGTGTGTGTGTGTGTGTGTGTGTGTGTGTGATTACAGTACAAGTGCCTACTGTAAAATGTGCTTTGTGAGTTTTGTGCTCAATTTTGGCAGTGTCTTGCTTTATTAATCATTGTAAATAACAGAAAACACAACCAAGGCATGTAAAACAGAATCACGAGAAATAATGCCACAAACGTCCCATGTATGAAAGTGACATTTTGTTTGCTTCCAGATGAATTCACAGAACAACCTCAGGTCTGCACGGCTGCTTCCCTTTTCTTTAGCTGAAGCAGCATCCCTGGTACTTCATAGACATATATAAAAGATTCACCACACCTGAAAACAGGGACCTGCTGTGTTGTGTCCGAGCCTTTGTCTAAAATATTAGACAGACGCATAGAATCATTTTTTTTAACAATTCAAAGTGCAATATCTAAAAAAAACATTTTCTAACAAAGAATCAAAGTGTTACAGTGAGAGGCAGGAGGAGTGAGTTCCTTCCATTTATATTAACACAATAAAACATGAACAATAAAACATCCCAGTGGAATCAAAGCAACTGGAGCATGTACAGTATGAGGAACATACATGCTATCACGGCAGAGGTGGGCACCCGTATGGATTTTACACTTCAACATGAAAATCAGCAGGATCAGTTGCATTGTGAGAAGACTTGATAAAAAACACTTAGTAATTTCCTGCAGCTTCTTCTGGGAGTGTATGAATAATTTAGTTCTGACTGATGAGGCCTGAATCCACCTTTTCCATCATTTTTCCCTTGTGACTTCAATTTATAATCTTATTTCCTTGAAAGCAGATTTAATCAACCATGTCTATGGTTTCACTTCAATCTAGGATGCTGAGCAGAAATTAATTTTTTCTCTCATAATTTCTTATCTGAGATAATTTAGGATCCAAGAATTTCAATAATGTCACCCACTAATACTGATATTACTCCATATCAGTGCCCACCCTCACATACAAACAATCAGACATGCTCACAGGGGACCCTCCTTTCAGACGCTTTCATCCGTCAACAACGATTCGTCCACATCGCTGTGAAAAACACAACTGGGTCTTCTCCGCTGCAGTGGTCCAATTAACCTCACTCGAGGCGGCAGGAGGAGATGTGAAGGATTGGGTGGAGAGGGGGATGTTGAAAAGAAGAGTGATGGAGTGATGTGTGGGCGGCTGGAGATAATCTCTCAGACACCACAAGGTGTCGTGTTGCCATCTCTGATGGTTGCTATGCAACAGCATCCTTCAGAGTCTTCCTCCGGATGGTAACTAGGTTACCCCAACTTAGTATCATCCTGTTGGTGTTCTGCTTCGTTTTAAAGGCAAAACTGTGTCCCTCTTCCCTTTTGGTCTTTAACTTATACCGGCTGGTTTGACCAGGGTCCAGTGTGCCCCCCCCCACCACCACCACCACCCAGGCTGGGGAGGTGTTGAGAGGTTAAACCAGTTCATCCAGCAGAGTGCCTATGCTGTGGTGCTGCTCGGGGGGGCCGGCTATGGGTTTGTTGCACATGGGGCAGACGCAGCGAACCTCCAGCCACTTCACCAGACACCTGAGCAGGAGAGCACACACAGGAGAAGTAAAACAGAGAAGCCAAACTGAGGGGCCTCTTTCACACTGTGGGATTCCTCTTACACATTTTTATATGATACACTGATCCCAACAACTTGTGACCTTTTACATAAGTAAAAACACTAATGCTGCATTAGATAGAGATAAACTTAAAGAACAAATCTTGCATCCAAGATTTTACTTATGTAAAAGTTTTAGCAGCTAAATTTTAAGTTTGTGTTTCATATGAAGAATATGTTTTGTATGTGTTTTCTTAACTATTGCTGTATAAATAAACTATGATGGCAGAGAGTAGAAGAAATTCCTCCACTGATTCATAAATTATAGCAAATTTACAAAAACTCTACAAAATGCTTTGATACACAAAGTCAAGGAAAATCCTGGATCTGCTGTTATAATCTGATCCACGTCAAAATGAAATGAGTGTTTCCCTGAACCATGTAACACCTCTCCACTAAAGTTGTTGCATATGGGTTCAGTACTTTTTTGCGTAATAAACAAAAGACACCTTGGCACATCCTTGATGTATGTTACTACCCTGGGGTCTAATCACCAGACACATTAGTCTCTCCTGACTGACATGTCCAGATTTTCTCTGGGAAAAACAGGCTCCAACTAAATGTAACACAGTTTATAAACATCAACCCATGCTTCCTTCTCAAGATCCCACTGCAGCTACTCTCTGCCTTCTACACAGTGGAAATATAAAAACATTAAATATATAAAAAATGAATGAATCTGAGCTTCGTTGATTGAGACTTCACACAGTTAGAAAAACACATCTGTCCGGCTTTTCATTGCCGAACTTCAGAATGAATCGTTGTTATGTTAACAAGCCCAGACGGGGACAAAGCGGTAAGAAGAGCTCTCCTGTACCCACCTCCTGTGGAAAGCATGTTGGCATGGCAACACTCCCAGCTCGTCTTTCACTTTGAAGTCCTCCAAACACACGGCGCATGTCTGCTGCGTGAGCGACAGACGGAGCGCAACGTCGTTAGATGAAATTACCAGAAACAGTTTTAAAGTTGTCAGAGACATCAGTGCAGATGTTCTGTGCATGTAAATCACGTTCTTACCCCGTGAAGATTCAGCTTTTTTGGATCTCCTTTTAAAACTACCTGCAGGAGAAACAAAAAACTCATGATGAAGAAAGATTTTTAGAATTTTATTTAGGTTAAGATGTGCCAAGTACTGACGTCAGGCTTACCTCCCTGTATCCAAACCGCTCACTCTGGGCTTGGTGTCGTAGTTTGCTGTGGATGAAAAGAGATAAACACTAATGAATATCTTTGGAACTTTACAATCTGTATATTTCCTCAATCAACTTTCACATACGTCTTTAAACTGATGGAGGAAATAATCAGATTTGTTACTTCAGTAAAAGTAGAAATTACTCAGAGCAAAATGAATCAAATACTAAAGTGTTGCAATAAGTTTTTTAAAGTGAAATCCAGTGTTATAATGGAACAAAGTTCCTTAGCTAACAGCAACAGTAAAATTCTATTTATGTGAGCTAAAAACATTTTTCTGCTATAACATCTGTATTTAAGTAAAATTGTAAATGCAGAATTTGTCATAGTAGTTTTGTTACATTTCAAAAGATGACAAAATGTTACAAAATACAGAGACTGTCACAAGAAAGTACTTAAAACTGCAGTAACTAAAAATCTTAATCTAAAGGTAAGTAACTTAGCACCGTAGTGTTAACTAAAAGTACTGGATTAACTTATGTACTTAGTTACTTTCCACAAGAGATAATGATGTGTGCATGTACATTTAAATCAGTGTTAAACAGCTGGTCGTTGGATTCGGGTTCAGATTAAAGTTGTGTGATAAGTTATGTGCGTGCAACTGCAGCCACACATACATGGACAGATATGTTTTCCTCTGCAGCTACACACATTGTTGACACACTTAAGTAATCAGGAGAGTGCATGGACATGCAAACACACACACACACACACACACACACACACACACACACACACACACACACACACACACAAAGACGGATAATGACTATGTTGCCTCTTTGAATCTCTGCACCACCCCGACCAGCAACAATGGAGAGCAGGAGATCTTTATCACTTGACAAGCTGTGTCTGTTCAGGCAGTTATTTTTGGCCTCTTGTTTTTACACAACTAAACATAGACTCATATGTCTATCGCTGTTTGTGATTCAGGGCCTGAAACTAAATGCGACAACATCTGAGATGAGAGGTGAATGTTTTTCGTTTCATTATTATGTGATCTGATCCCACTCAAAATAGAAAAAAATCTCAATGAGTCAGTGGTTAAATTAAGAAAATGACAGCTATTCCTTGTTTTTGAGACTCAGTTTATTGTTTACACTAATTACTGTGAACAATCTTCCGTGTGGAACAATGTGAGGATACACATTTTACATGTGCGGAGGTTTCCCATGCCTGAAGAATGATGTGGGTGAAAGGGAGGCATGGCGGAGGGTTTCAGTGTTCCAGCTCAGCCTTTGTGCCCAGTTTGCAAGAATAGAAAGCCGACAGCTACTATTGAGCAGTTCTTACTGAATGAAGGAACAATTGAATTAAAAAGGTGTAGAGTGAATGATCCACAGTCATAATAGATGCAGAAAACTTTAACTTCAACTAAACCATTTGCTGTACATTCTACAAACAATCAACCATCCAACCAATCAGAGGCCGGGACTGACTGCAGTTGAGCAGTAAGCTGGATAAATCCAGTGAATCGAGAATTCATGATGAAGGGTTAAAAGGTTGAAAGTCAAGGTAACTGTGACCTAGCTAGTTTTTGGCCCCTAAAATGTGCTGTACATATAAACAGAATTTAAAACACAGATTTAACCAACTTAATGTTTGTCTCAAACTCTGTCTCTATGTTAACACATGTCAGAAGATTACCTCCATTTAGAATTCAACTGTTTATTTGCTGAGTCTCTGTTTGTCCTCCAGTTGTCTGCAGGTAAAATACTTCCCTGTACGACTTTTCCCAGTGTCTGCAGGAAACTTCTAATTATGAGGTTTGACAGGGCTCTCTGACCAGTCATGTTTCCTGTTGGCTCCTGATCAGACGTGAAGGAACTGCTCGTTACTTTGGGATATGAACCCTCAGGATGGTTCACAGCTCCAGTCTCAAAGATCAGTGACAGTAAATTGTACTGGTCAGTGAATGTATTTGTGGAGAGACTCTCTGGCAGCTTTCTATCACTGTGCTCTCAGTCCGTGTGTCGTCTGGCTGAAAACACCCTCAGCCTGCCCCCTGCACCTTGTGCTTCTCAAAATATCTCTCCCACAGAGTGAACACTGTTATAGAAGGTATAATTAGAGATATGATATTTTTGCTGTGTGCTTTTGGCATCAGTCTGGTGTTGCACTCTTGTACATCGCAGGTGCTGCTGCGTAAAGAAGAAACAGCGTTGGAAGAAACAGAAACGATCATGTTTGCTCAGCAAAACTTTCCCTAATATCCTTAGGATTTTTTTTCTTCTATAATTGCTGCATTCATTTGCAGGAGGAGGAATCCTCACATAAAAGAAAAGGGACGGACTTAGATTTTTCCGACCCCGCCAACTCCTGGATACGAAGGATTTAGAGACTGCCCGTCTGAGAGCGATAATAGGAACCCGGCTCCCAACAGAGAATGGCATTCATCACTCAGTATTCATCAGATGAATCACCTGGTCTATAAATGAATTCTCAATCACACTCCCACCCGAGACTACCTCCAGCATGCTAATGGGGCCGAAAGGAAGTGACTCATTGCTTATGATTCACAGGCAAGTGTATAAAAGGGAGGCAGGAAGGAGGAGGAGCCAAGCTTTTCTGATGGAGTTGATGGTCGATGTGGCGGCGAATAAAACAAAACACATGTGATCACAGAACTGTGTCTGACCTCAACGTTACCAGCCGATGAACCAAAAATAGATCCTGGGATGAGCTGTGCTTTTATTATTATTGGCACTTTTGTCAATATTTTTCTCTTTAGGCAGCAACCTTCAAGTTCAAATTTAGTTTCATGATTTTAATTTGCGTTAGTACTTAAAAAGGTTTATATGCCAATGGTTCAGAAAATCATTCCCCTCATAGTTTCTGTCTGGAACGCTTGGTTTTAGCCTTAATGTGTAAGGGGGCGTGCCAGACTGGCCGCTCTGTGTGCATTATTCAAATGTGGCGTATTATGTCATGTATTTGTTTTTAACAATTTTCTTCTGAGGACCTCACAGACTTCTTACCATTTGTATTTGCTATCCTTATTTCACTTGGTGCAATAATTATAATCAAAAAAGAATGAGCTGCAAAGGACGAAGATTTACAGGATTGAGCCAAATGTTCTTCACACCTGCTGAACACCAGCTGCCTGTTACTGACATTTGTGTTGTGACGTTTCCATTTTTATTTTGCTGTGTTTTTCAGACTTTACAAGCAACAGACGTTTGAGGAGAAACTCAAAATTATATTTTATCACATTAGGGAATTTGTCAAATACAGATTCTCAGTCCTCTAAAGACAGCTGGGATGGAAAAAAAACAAATACTGCAGGTGTTGATGTTGCACGAGTGGGTTTCATACAACACCAACGTTGGTTTTGTGTACTCCCACTGTTTGCTGCGTTTATTCCGAGCTGAGTTTCTCTGCTCAGTTTCCCTCACTTCTGTCCTCACACATTGTGATGGGCCTGTTTCCCGTTGCCTCATATCCTGTCCTTCAGACACAAACGTCCCCTCAGCTCATCAGGCGAGTTCACAGTCAGCCACAGAGTGTTTTTTTTATACCTCCCTCCCTCCCTCACTGGGTTTCTGTGCTGCACACAGACACTCACACACACACACACACACACACACACACACACACACACACACACACACACACACACAGACACACACACACAACCTCTACAAGGTTTTGTAGAACAGCAAAGTCAGTTTGTTGCTATGTCAATTGGTTCATCTGACCCAACTGCACTGTCCTCTGCAGGTTTTAGCTAATTGGTCAAATGCACAATGCCTGTTGGGATGTGGACAGGCAATAGTTGCCAGCAGCTGGACAAAGAATCAAGGTCTGACTTGTATCTTGCCCTTTTAAGAGTGACGGCAGATGTGACCTTCATCAGAACCTTCTTCCTGTGGGTTTTTTTTTCAGTTGTTAGTTTTGAATCCCATATTTCTGTTTCTGTTGCCCCTCACCTGATGAAGTAACAGCAGAAGATGAGGCTCAGGATGAAGACAAAGATGCCCGTCCCGAAGATGACCATGTAGATGTTCAGAGGCAGGTCCTGGAAGGTGATGGGCGGCATGGTGCACGACTTGTTGGTGTAAACCAGTCCCAGACCACAGAAGCACCCTGAACAGAGACGACGGCAACATTTAAAAACACATTAACGGGAAGAGGAGGGGAGGCCTGACACTGACTGAAGCAGAAATGTCTCAAAACACAAGTGAATGCGACTGCACACATATCTCTTCCCTACTCGTACTTCCTTTGTTCTCTGACATTCATGGGCAGCTGCGGGTTAGACCTGCAGCTGTGTCCGTTTCAAATGGAAGCTAAACATTAGCGCTTCAATCACACTCGCATACACAGACACAAAGCTTGTCGTTAAGAGAAAGTCGGCCACTGCACTCCTGCGGTGGAAAATTAGTCCTTTTCAATGTTTTACTCAAACATAGAAAACCCTGTTAATGCGGTATCCAAGCAACATGGCTGTAACGCTCTACACGGCAGATTCACACAGGTCTTTGTCTGATAAAAAGGTCGACGTGGTTCGTTAAAGTGGGCAGAGGAAAAAGTAACGGTCAGACATTGATGAAAACATAATATTTGTCCAGCACCTATTTGTTAAATGAAAATGGGACATCTTCTCACACTCTAAAGAATCATGACAGTTCAACTGGATTAAAATAGGAACATAAAATCTCATCATAAAAACACAATGTCGGTAGATTCAGTATTCTCGTTCATGGAGGTGATTCTATCAAAGTGAATTACAGACGAAGCAGCCTGATATTTTCATGTCTTGAACTGGCTGCTTGGTATTGTACTTCCCTCCAGACAGATGGTTTCCCCATTAGAAGAGCCCTCCCTCGGCTCATCCGTCTTCCTTTACAGCTACGCTCCTGTGTGCGTGTGTGTGTGTGTGTGTGTGTGTGTGTGTGTGTGTGTGTGTTCGTTTTTCCAGGAAACAGAATATCTCTGACACATTATCACATTACCATGGAGAAGTTGCAGTATGTGTGCAGTTTACAGTATTTGGCAAGTTGTGCGTATTGTGTTATTTATCGTGTGTGAGATGAAACTTGTTTTCCCCATATCAAAAGAATAAAGTGAGACACTCAGGCAGGAAACCTCAGAGTTGTAAATTAGTTGGAGATACAGAGAGCCCACTTGTGATTTGTGTGAGTGTGCATGAGTAATGAGAAGTCAGTATCTGAGAAGTGAGAGGGGGCTTTGTGAGATCGGGGTCACATTAACCCAGTGGGGCGATAGTGAGTCGGAGCTAACCCGGGACTCATCTCTTTCTGATGATACCAACCTCTCCGAAAGGCTGCGAGCGACGGAGAGCAGAGAGAGTCTCTCACACTCTATAGCAGCAGATTTCTGATTAGCCCGCCTTCAGAGACAAGCTGCTAATCAGTGAAAGCAGCCTGTGTATTGTTTAATCACAAGAGCTTGGCCTTCTAAACCACACAGTAGTCTATGATACAAACTGCACTGTTACTATTTTAAACACAAAGACAAAAGGATGGATAAATAGGAAGACAGACAGGAGGACAAATGGGGAAATGACGCACATATGGATGGGGGATAGATGGAGAGAGGGCAGTTTAATGCAGGACAGATGGAAGCAGGGAAAATGCTTGATTGGATAGTGGATGGATGGACATTGATAGATGAACAAATGAATGGACAGATGCACAGATAAGTGACTGAAAGGTAAAATGGATGAATGAATAGTCAGTTGGACAGAAAATACTGATGATGCATGGATGTGGATGGACAGAGGGGGACAGGGATGGATGAAAGGGTGGAGAGAATGACTGACAGACAAATTGATGAATGGATGCATGAACAGATGGATGGATGGACAGACAGGGATGAATAGATGTACCAATAGAATTAGATACTGATGACGAATGACATGAATGAAAAGACTAGATGGATGGATGGATGGATGATGGACAGACAAACGGATGGATGGACAGACATCAGGATGAAAGAGGAGCGTAATAAGAAGGATGGAGACATTTACCAGTTTCATTTCATTGTGATGACTGTTGTTTTCTTGGGCGTGTTTAATTGATCCTGGTGTTTCTAGACTCTGCTACAGGCAAAGTAACATGTTGACATTTGTGTTTGACATTTCTCCCGCCTCACAGTGGAAATTGCAGCACGGGAGGATCGATACCTCCCGCCTCTTAGTTCCACTCTCCTCGAATGAGCGGTGATGCTCCATTAATCGAGGCTCTTCATTGAAGGCAGCGCGTTCAAGTTCCACCCTTTAATAACTTCTCTCAGGAGAGGGGATCATTGACAGAGACATGGACGACTGCCTGAACCTGCGTCAGCAACACCGTCATCATGAGAGTGTAAACTCAACACAAACGCACCGAAGCACATCTGCAGAGCTGTAGCCAGGATCTTAGAAATACCAAGGACATGAGTCTTTGAGACCTGAATCCTCCTAAGAAAATCACGAACCAAACTCTGTGGCCTCAATATGTTTTTAAAGAAAAAGTATTTTCTGCAGTGGTTACCACTGTTGCCTCAGAGCAAGAAGTATCATATCCCAGTTCACCCAGGGACCCTTTGTCCTGAATGGAATTGGTTCCAGCTCCCCCAGTGACCAGAGACGGATGGATGAATGAAAGGATGGATGGATGGAAAATCTTGAATTAAAACACTTAGGCTACATCAGTGCAGGGCCCTTTGTCACATTTCAGAAGTGTCTACAGACTCTTTCTCTTCCCCACATGCAGTTACATGTTTAGATATTAGGTCAGAATAACACATGGACAATGTGCATTATTGTAAAAGATAAAAAAGAGAATATCACTGAGGGCACGACCTCAGTGTCCACAATCGTGGCTGTACACACGAAGATGAGGACATCAGAACAAACAACCTCATTTTCTTTCTATTACCTTTATATTTATCGAGCAAACTGCATCACAATGATCATCGTCAGACAAAAGAGACATGAGACTGTGGGCACACGTGTCTCTGCTCAGTCTGTTCAGTCATATTCATATCTGACGGCACAAATCATCTGTGAAGCTGCTGCACTCTCAATCAAAACACGGCTCATTTATATTCAAGTCTTTATGAGTGTGTGTGTGTGTGTGGGCTCATCATGTCACGACGCTCGTCTCTCTCCTCCACCTTTCTATGAGTGGAGAGCAGACAGCTATATGTGGTATTTTGCTTTGGGTGGAGCTCTGTATGACCACTGACCTATATATTGGCAACACTCAGGAGGCGCCCCGTTGCCATGGCAATGAGAGTCGCAGATGCAGAAAAAGGGATGAGGGCTCGCCTCCGAAAGTTCTCGTGTCGAGGATGGAGCCGGTCGCGTTGGGCAAATGACGGAGTGACGGATTCTCGTGTTGTTGCCTCGAAAAAAAAGGCAGGAAAGTCCCTCAGTGATTTGAAGGTGCTCTAAAATACCTCGAACATGGCAGCGTCCCTGACAGCTCCTGTGAGATGCCTGGTGGGGTGTTTTGTCCTATATACGCCGTGCTCACACAAAGCTGCTGCTTCTTTCCCCGTCTTTCTGCCGCTCACACTAAAGGCAGAACTTCCCATCAAATATTTAGCAGTTCACATGAGGGGGAAACACTCAAGGCTTGCCTGCATGGCTGCTGGCTGCAGTTTTCAGGAAAGAAAAGCAGGTCAGACCCAAAAACTCCCCCATCACATACAGTACATGGAAGTGCCACACATGCACAATGATGTACCATCGTGGATACATGCAGAGAGCAGAAGTTCAGCTGCTTCATGTTTTCCAGCAGATTTACATTCTTTGATACTGTGTGTGTGTGTGTGTGTGTGTGTGTGTGTGTGTGTGTGCTATTTCCCCGATGAATAGCAGGGGAGTAGAGCAGCACAAAGGGAGTGATTGTTCATGTCTGAACACCAGCAGTCCAGCGAGGAGGCTGCTGCACTCAAACAGTCAAACTCAGAGGGAAAACACCACTAATCCATCATCCTCACCAGGTCTGCCCCTGACAATGACCCACTGATGCACCGATTCACTGTAATGAAAGGAAGCTTTTTTATTTTTGTTACAGCACGGCCGATGCACCTCCGAACGCACACGCACACAAAACTGAGCATTTTTCAAACACGACGGAGAAGCAATTTAGACTTTTGTAGATAATGTGTAAGAGGTCAAGAGGAGTGTGAACGAGAGACTTCAGATAGAGGCAGTCAATGTAAACAAGATTACACACAGAGTCAAATGTTACACAGAGCACAATGACGGGCCTTGTGTGGCTCTCAATTGGAATTAATTTAGAAGGAAATAAAGGGCTCTATTGATTAAGCAGTGTCTTATTCTATTAGTAGATACACACATTGATTAAACATTTAGATCATCAGTGTTTTAACAAATTCTTAACAGCCAATAAATACAACATTTACACCTTGATTATTAAAGGGATACCATTTAGGTGAATTTATAAGCAGTAGCCTTTATAAAGACACAAAATGGTTTACCACACAATACTTAATACTTAATCTTCCAATTAATCCTTTTGTTTATAAAATTTCAGAAATTGTGCAAAATGTCATGTTATAATCTCAGTACTAAGGCTGTGCAATACAATTATATAATATAATTTTCATCTATTTATATATATACATATCAACATAACAAAGATTTAAGCTATACATTGATGTATTGTTTGCTTTGATCAATCCAAATGTGTAAAATATTTTTGCTGTTTATCAAGTGGTTGTCATATAGAAGAGTTAAAGCCTTCACTCAGAAGCAGACATCATTCTTTAAACTTAAGAAGTAATAATGTGACATTATCATAATTATCAATTATCGACTGATATTACTGATTGTTTTTTCTCTTGATACAATTTTTGGCATTTATAAATGATATAGTATTTGTATAGTAACATTAGTATAATTATTTTAGTAGTATTTATACAATAATGTTTTTTAAAAATGGTAAATCAAACAAAGAAAATTATGAAAATAATCATGAGAATGAGAGCTGTTTAAGTAGCTTGTTATATTCTACCATTAAATGAATAATTGGCAGATATTGTGTACAGACTACTATGATGACAAAGATTTAAATTCTCAGAAGCTTCAAGAAACCAGAGACTGAGGTGATTCAAATAAAGTTTTTCAAAAGAATAAAGTGCTTTAAACTTACTGTCAAGCATCACAAGTCTTAACAGAAGTGATTTTATTCATGGTGTGATTTTTGTCACATTGGAAATGTGTAGAGCCCATTGTGGTGATTCTATCAACCTTGAGAGGCTGACTCCTCTGAAATAAACAGACAGTGTTGGAACATATTTATCCCAGAGGCCTGAAACAAACACTCAGCTCCCACTACAATATAAAATGACTGCTCACCGTTACACCACTGAAACGGGTGCATCAATGCACCAGAGGTGTGGGGGGAGAGTCCTTGCCGACGGGATCCGATGCGTGTTTACCAACAAGCCGCAGCCGCCTGTGCAGATGGATGATGATGGTGGTGGTGGTAATAAACTGGAGCCAGAGACCAGTGAGCCAGCAGAGATGACCGAGACAAAGGCACCTGTATAAAAAATAAACGGTGCGTAAAAGACGAACAAAAACGTGCGTAAAAAGGCGAACGTGTATGTCACATTATTGCTGCGCTGCAGATTGAAAAATAGGTGATCCCCTTCTGCTTCAGTCCTCAGTGTGTCTGCTCTGACTCTGATATTATTAATGGACGGAATAGAGCCGTGACCCAGCAGCAGCATCTGCGAGAGAGCGAGACAAGCTGGGGCACTGGAGCCTCCTGCTCCTCATCCCGCCCCCTTGCGCACCGGACTGACGTGCGCACGAACCAATCCTCGGCCTGCCTGCTTCCGCGTTTGTTGTGACGGGCTGCGTGTGCTTTCAGCCATCGATCATCGTCATCCTCACTTTACTGATGCATGCATGTTTTACAGACTAATACATTAAAGGACAAAATCAGGGGCGAGATTTAAAAAGAAATACTGAGGTTATGAGTCCACGGCCGGATTAACCTTTTGAGAGGTCCTGGGGCTAAAACCCCCCTTTCTTTGTATTCATCCATTATCCATAGGCCTTCAGTTTAACATATGAGGGTCACTGGGTTACTGGGGCTAATCCCAGCTGACAAGGGGTGGGTGGTGGGGTACAAACTGGACAGGTCACCATCACAGGGTCAACATAGAGACAAACTACTATTCACAACTGTGGCAACCTGACCTGTTTGCTTAAACTCTGAGAAAACTCAGCGCTTTGCATTCTGAGCTGAGCTTCACTGAATTTTAAAAACAGGTGAACAGCTCTTTTGTGTGATTTAATTTATTTTCTAAACTTCATTAAACATCTTTTCTCAGTTCAATGAGCTAATCTCCGATGGTTTCATATTTGACTGGTTTTACAAGATGACTTTGTTCTACTTATTCGACCTTAAGGAGCCGTTGAACCAGCTTGAACTGATTTATGATTTGCTTCTTTTAACAGTAAAAACAGAAAATATTGCCCTGGGCTTTGAAATGATTTCATCAAAATAAAATGTATAAATCAATAAATAATAATCTGCTAAGAAAGATGGTGTGATACTATCTTCCTTCATGTCTGTTAAATAACCAGTGAGCTGAGACTGTTTCGTCAAATACTGATTTATTTTTTATAAGTGGTGAAATTCAAACAAACTGGGCGTAAACAACACTGGAGCAGAAACGTCTCCACGGCACACACACACATACACACAGTTCTGGACTTAAGTGCCACAAAAACTGCACATAAAGGTTTGTTTTGTTCAGCCACAGAGACACACAAAGTCATTTCAGAAAAAGTAAAGCTGCTCATATCCTGTGAGGTTTCCAGTAAAGATGGGCGTGTAGTTGTAAATCAGTGAAGAATCCTCTTCCTCAGGATCGTCAAACCGATGTGAACTCTTCCTTCCTAAACAAAGCAGAAGTGAGATCAATGTAACTAACAAATCTTTATACGTCAGTCAGCACGTATCATTCAATCATTTACAATGCTGGGTAACATGTTCACAGTTAAATATCAGCACTTTTTAACACCAGTATGGATGAAATCTTCAGTATTGTAACTTTTATTGTTTTATAAATATATATTTTAATATATGTTATATTGATATACAAAGCACTTTCTTGGAAATTCATTACAGAAATTGTGTACCAATAAAATAAGCATGAGTGAATGTAAATCACCCACAGTTATCTCATTTTAAGGGGCCTTGGTGTTAATATAATAAAAATCTCTGTCAGTTGCCAGTTGAGTATTTGTCTTCATATCCTGTGAACATATATAAGACCCAATCATACTGACTGGTGATGATGACGTGTGCTTATCCTCTCACCTTCATTGACAAAGAACTCCCCCAGCAGAGACGATAGCTGGACGGCGTGAGGGGAGTGAGGAAAGTTCAGCTTTCTGTCCCACTGAAAACGATTCACCTCCGGGTGCCACTGCACTCCATAGAAGGGATATCTCTTCCCTGGTGTGAAATAATTAAATATGCCGTTATTACGACCCCATTTCAGAGCAGTGATCCAGTTTGTGAAATTAATAAATGAAAGTAATCTTGTAACCTTCTATGGTTGAGACAAAGTGGGCTCTGTTTTCAGCAACGTTTGTAGACAAGAGGGAAAAGAAATTTCTCAGCTTCTCGTTTTCCTGGAAGCTCTGTAAGAACATTTATTCATTATATTACCTTTCAATATGATTTAAATACTGCATGTTTGATGTAATAGCAAAGATTTTTAAGGTTATAAGATATATATGTAGATATAAGGTTATAACAGGACCTTATCCATCTCATTGTGAGAACATAAACAGATAAGTGTGGTCAGGAGAGTTCTCGTTCCTCTGTCATTCTCTGCGTGGTCATTTGATCACACACAAATAAATTGAGAAATACACATAAGCTTAATATCAGCTTCATCGTCAAGTTAACACCAACCAATTCCCATCTTGTGAACCTGGGTTTCAGTGACTCAGCCTGGAAACCATATACAGTAGTTTGCAGAAATGCTGAATGAACACTTGATTCTCAGATCACTTGTGTATATATTTATATCTTTGCAGCCAAAAGCGTCAAAAAAATACCAGGAAAGATATTTCTTGATGCTTAATGAGCGGATTGTCCCTGATTTCATTTCTCAGAACAGTAACAAGACAAAACCTCAACATGGAAAAGGAAACACAGTGCGCAGTGACACTTCTTCTTTACCTTCATTTCTAGTCCATAGTGGTGAAAATTACCAGTCAGTGGTTCTTGGGTCAAAATCTTCATGAAGTCATCAGAGAAACCCTGGAACATCCTGCTGGAGTGGGCCTCTGCAGGGAAACACCCTCTGATCAGTAACTCGACTCTACTGACACTAAGTGGTATAATTCAGTACACACAGTACATCAGAACGTTTCCCCAAACAATCAAATATTAAACCTTGAGTCTATTTAAAACATGTTCCTTGTACTTTAGAAATAATGCACATATCTAGACATCAAGAGTAATGCAGTAATCTGTAACCTGGGGTCAGGTTGAGGGGCAGTGCTATGTTCTCTGCTGTGGTGTTTGTCAGCAGATTTTCACCGGCCACCAGAACAGTCAGGAGCTGCATGCCCATGCATGTGCCCCAGATGGGGAAGAAGTCCCCTGCGTCGTTGGCCTGGAACACAGAGTCAGAATTTCATTTTTTTTGTGTCTGAAACAAAAAAGCAAAACTGAAACTTTCTCTGTAAACCCGGTAAGGTAGAGTTTACCGAAACAATTATTCTGCCCTAAAAATGTTAAGTAATGAAAACTTGAGTTGATTTAACTTAAAAGCTTTAAAGGCTGGAATTGTTAATTTAAGTTCAATACACTATATTCCAAGTTGATTTAACTTAAAAACATTTGAAGTCACTGAACCCCAGATACGTTGAATATACTTAAAATAACTGAAGAAATAGGCCCAACAATTTTTAGCAATGTTGAATGCAAAACATAACTTGATTTAACTAAAAATTATTTGTAATATCACATGCTTTACTCTACATTTCAATTGGTGCAATTTGTTTAACTTAACCGATAAAAAAATCAGAGGACAAAAATGTATATTTTTCTGTTTTATTCTGTTACCTTATTGATTTAAACATACAACATAAATACAGTCAACCTTTGTCTCGTGAATAAATGCCTGGTGTGCTACTTTCAAACTAACAGATTTAGGAACACAAGATAAGAAAAGTTTAAATATAAACTACTGAACTATTCATTTTGAAATGTTATGAGGCTAAAAGATATAAAGTTCCCTTAAAACGAATTCAACCTATATACTAAACTGCACTTTACATACTATATGATTCAATAGACAGATCAAAATAATATTAAAAGATCCATAGATATTTAAAAAGGGAAGTACAAACCTTCAAAGCGAGTTGATAAAAAATCTTCGCCACCTTGGCATAGTCTGACTTCTGCAGATCCACAGCTCCTCCGATGAGCAGCAGACTGAAGAGACATCACACGGTTAGAGCAGTGAACTGATGGAGTTAGTGTTATATATGAAATATACAACACATTTGTAGTTATATAATGCAGCTCACCCATTTATCTTCTTAAAGATGTTTTCATATTCACGAGTAGTATGAGTCAATCTGCAGTGGTCAACACAACAATGTTAACTATATTATTTTACAAACAGTAAATCAAGAGTTAACATCATCTACACTTTGTGATTTATTGGCTCCATGGAAACTGCATTTGTGCTTTTTCGTAGGAGATGCCACCCTAAAAGAAATTTTTTAATTTATCTAATATTTTTAGAAATTGGACCAGGGATCTCTCACTGAAAATAAATTATAGATTATAAAACTCCAGGTATTTTAAAGGTAACATTCAAACACAGCAAATCAAGAGGACTCGACCTGATAGGCATCACTCTGCTGCCTCCAGACTCAATGTACTTCACATAGGACGCAGGTATGAAGACTTTCCCCCAAGGTTTCAAGACATCATCTGAAACCATCTGAGTCAAAATACCTGTGGGACAAAAACAAAAGTGATTATGCAAAAAAAAACAAAAAAAAACTGTCATAAACAGAACCTGCAGATAAAGTGTTGTTTGCTGTATTTCTTTAATGTTTGTATCATCCAAACTTCTTTTTATGATCCTCATCTGATACTAAATTTCACTCACCGATCACAGGTCTGTCGTTCGAAGCCTCCTGGTTGAGAGCAGTCGTCATAGCTCTGCTGCAACAGATGCAGCTGACAAGAAGTAAACAGACAAATGATGAAAATCCCGTGTTGGACATGGTTTTCACCTCAGTCTCCACTGACCGCTCGAGGCTGAATTCAGCGTTTTGTTCCCTGCGAGCAGTAACTCATGAGAGAAGCTGCAGCAGACTGATATATATTGAGCTAGAAGAGGATATAGTCAGTACAGGGAAGTGAGAAATTCCCAGGTTTACATGTGATGATATATCTCTAACATGCCGGTCAGGCCAGTTGACTGCTGAAGCAAACACAAATGTTCTGCTGACAGTGCGGACTTTCTGGCAAAATTCTGATCGGTTAGTTTGTAGGAAGTAATGCAGTTTCCTGGATCAGAGCTGGGTTGTGAAAGAATGGTTTAAAATGAATTGCATGATAAGGTTGAGGAGAACAGCTCAGTTCACACAGTACACTGGATTCAAAATGCAGTCAAACTAGTTTGACTGTGGAAGAGGCACAGACTGAGAGGAAAACAAATGGCACACTTAGTTAGAGCGCTCCTGTTCTTTCTGTTCTCTTCACCCCTGCAGCACTGACGTTATCACTCCACTTCTGTCCACTTTAATTGAATAAATGAATAAAACATTTTGCCCTTTTGTCAGTGGGGCTTTATTTTTGGATACTATTATGTGTGGATCCTTCTAGTGAAACAAAATTATATCTAATTAAAGCCTTTCTAAGAAAATTTGCTGAAATCAGTGCATGTAATAAATGTTATAGTAAAACAATAGCTAGAAAGTGGAGTTTGAGTGAATCAGATAAATATAAATATTAAATGAGATCATTTTATGAAAGAAAGAAGAACATTGTTGATCAATAGGGATGTTGGGTCACGGAGGACAGACTCAGTGCAGAAATATTTAGATCCTAGTTGTTTTTATGATGATGAATAAGAATACCTGGTTAAAAATGTGACTGAGAGTTCTAGTGTTTCTTTTATTGTCATTTGCAACAGTCAGACACTAATTTATATTCAGGTCACAGGAGTAAAAAGAAACAGTAAAAAGTAGGTCACCGGTTGGTCTCCAATAAATCTGATCCAACCACCAGGTGGAGACAGAGGACATCAATCATACACTTAACCATACACTGTGTATAAAGATGGAAGACATGACAGCTCCCCGAAAGTGAAGCCAAAGCATGAGTGACAGTCTTTAACAATTACATGTATGTTAGATTGAAGAATTGTCAAAAATCCTCCTTACATATTAAAAAAAGACATTGTACTGAGACGATCAGTTCACTGTCTCATATTCAGCATTAAAGAAAACGAATATTCATGTTACCCAGAGTGTATCCTAACTGTGTAATACTGTCCATTAAAAGAGGTTAACTGGGATTCTGGCAGCGTCTCTCCAGTTCATTCTCAGCCTTTGCCTTCATTCACACACGAGTCCGAAAAGAGGAACTTTCCTTACATCCACGGCTGCAGCGGTCACCACCTTCAGGGGGAGTTCAACTTTTTCTGTCTGACTCTGCAAAAAATCCACAAAATCAAATGAGTAATCTGACACATCAGAGCATCATAATACAGTGAGATATTTAAGAGTATGTCCATTTTTTATTCAAAATATTCACAGCTAACAAGAAAACACAGAATTTGCTTGCAGCTAACTGGCTTCATTTCACATCTACTTTACTGAAAGATGTGTGTAGTCTGGGTTGTTTTCAAAACAATTATAAATTATAATTCTAGCAGGTTTAATAGATTATCTTATGCTCACCCTGCAAACTACTGAAATGTCCGAATTGAAAAACCCAACATGTGCTGTGGACGTTTTGTCCAATAATGCAACGTGAAACTGACATAAGACTCACCAACAGCTGAAACAGATAAGCAACTGATAAAGAAAGATACATAATTTGTGATTGTGATCTCCAGAGAAAAAGATATTGTCTCCATCATGTCCAAACATTAAGACTTACCCCTGAGTCTGTCTATTTCCTGAAAAAGATCTCTACACACGGCATCCAGCAGTTTGTCTTTTGGCTTCAGTCCATCCAGAATCACTGAAGAAACAGATGCTGAACATATGAGTGTCATTAATCAACTACTACCAGTTTAGTTATTTATCATAATGTTTAAAAGTCTGGACCACATCATTACCCAGAATGCTCCAATAATCACAGACCCAGTCCCATCCACTCCCCCTGAACTGAACACGCAGTATCTTTGACTGGACCCTCACCTATTTCAGACACCATGCTGTCCATCTCCAGCCGGTTCCTGAGGTACATCGGCCACACGTGTCCGTCAAAGTAACCGGGAGGATCAGGAGGGGTGTACACCCGCGAACTGTCAATCAAAGACAGCAACAGAAAAAATTATGATCTGTGTTTATTGCAGCTCAACGCAAAACACAAGTTTCATTTGTTTGATGATAAAACCTTCTTCTCCTCTTGCAGACGTCATATGGAATTTCCAGGAAGAATCTTTTGTCAAATAGATCATTCAGAGGCCTGGGAACGTAAACAATTAACACACACACGATAAAATACATATAATATTTATACATGTAAAGAAAAATGTTTTGGGCAAATGTCAGATATGGCATATTCAACTGGTTAACAATCATCTAATTTATATTTTAGTTTTGCCGGTAATATGTGAGAAAACATTGGGCCTGTGTAATAAACTGTTATTCCTAATTTTGAAATCATTGTCATTTTATATCCTGAGCTTATAACTGAAATAAACGTGGTGACTTCCTGTCTCGTGTACCTGTAGTTGAAAATGAGGAACCCCTCCACTATCAGCACATACACGTCAGTAATGACAGTCTGCGTCACGCTCTCTGGGATCAGGCCTCGCTGCCTCAGGAACGATTCAGGATCTCTTTGCCATGAGTGGACCTCGCTCATCATCGTGTCCATGTGGAGAGCAGTGAGCACTGAAACCAACACAGTGACACTACAGACTCACACAAACACCTTCTCAGAGACACTGAAAGTACCCATTTGTTTTTTAACAACCTGAGGTTACACAACTCCCACTATTTTCCCCCAAAAATACCAAGGACATGATCCGTGTCCTTAATAGTAGCAGTTACACCCCTGCATCCATCCATCAAGGTCACAGGGCAAAATGGCAAGAATGATTGAAGACTAACTTACTTGTCACTGATACATTTTAACAAAGCGATTCGTGATCTAATTGGTCTAAATCCAAACCTTCCACTTCAACTTTAATAACCAACAATTGAATAAAGTGTCTTTACTGTCATATTGCTTGAAGCCATTGTTGTCCACCGGTACGACAGAATCCTCCTGAGGAATGAAAGGATGCACTGTGATCACTCAAACTCTGAAACTTATAGCATGTGTAGAAGCTGTAAACTGACCTGAATCCATACCTTAAAATATGAATCCTGTGCGATGATGCAGCTGTTGGGTATGAGCTGGTGCAGACTGTTGGACAGAGTAGATTTCCCACCATTGGTCATCCTAGAAAGAAATTCATATCACCTGTCATGATTAGGAATTTTAAAACTGTACAAATGTCAGGGTTTCTCTGGCTGGACTCTGTTACAGTGACTTTTCTTATCAGTGTTTGCAGCCACATGGTTTTCACATGCTGCATTGATCTGGCGTCTCTGCTCCCCCTTGCATGAGTTTAAGCTAATGCGTGATTTACAGTGATAATGTAAAGTTAATAAACCCAGATTTATTCATGTTGTGTTTTTAACTTCCTTGCACATGAGCATGCATTAGTGTATCTGAGGTGTAGATTGGTATTTAAATGACATGATATGTATTGAAGTTCCATCATCCTGACTCACCCGCCCACTCCCACCACCAGTGTCTTCATGTCAGCTCGAGTTGTTGTTTCCTCTTTCTCAAATGTGAAACTGATCAAACCTGATAACTTCAGAGTTTCTGCAGACTGAGCTCGTGCTCGTCTTTCTCTGCCACTCCTCTGCTCTGTCTTCCGTCTGTTCCGCTATTGATCGCTCCTCATTGGCTGATGGAGCATCTGCCTCACTTCTACGTCACGACCTGCCCATTGAGAAAATAAAGGGCGACATAATAAATAGACAATGAGGTGTCCAGCAGGAGAGAACTGTTTTAAACAGAAGGTTCAAGGTTCATGGACAAAAACTTCACTATACTCCAAAACAAATGAATGCGGTGATAATAGAGTCAATTAAAAAAAATCAATTCATAAAATATGAAATGAGTTTGAATTTATTTAATTTTTTTTATATTTAAAGATATTTACAGTATAATACGTCAAAATTGCAGCAGTAATAAAAGAGTGAAAGTAAAGAACAGAACATGAGAAAATAAAAAACTACAATAAGTATGACCACAGGGAATAAAACTTTTGTTATAGAACAAAATATTACCAAAATCCTATGTAAAGTAAATTACGTAAAATTATCTTGGAGAAAAGAGTAAAGTATAAGAAATGCACGAATATTTATCTAAAATACATGAAATAATCTCTCTCTATATCTATCTCTATGTCTATCTACCTGTCTGTCTGTCTGTCCGTCTGTCTATCTACCTATCTACCTGTCTGTCTGTCTGTCTGTCTGTCTGTCTGTCTATCTATCATCCTGTCTGTCTGTCCGTCTGTCTGTCTGTCCGTCTGTCTGTCACTCTGTATAATAGCAGTTGCAGGTCTGTGTTGTGCGCATGCGCGGTGCGACTCGTCCGCCTCCCAGTGAACTTCCTTGTTGGCTGAAGCAGCAGCAGTTTTAGCAGCAGAGAGTCCAGCGTCGCTTCTGTGAGAAACAAACGCGACGAGCTTCTTCTCCTTGTTTCCTGCGACTCTCACAAATGTCGAAGCCTCCTCCCAAACCGGCCAAACCAGGTAAGAGCAGCGAAATGAAGAGATGCGTTCAAATCGTCCTCTGACTTCTCCTGTGCACGAGGACAACGCACCTTGTTGTGCGGTGGCAGCTTCGCGGGCGGAGGCTGAGTCAGTGAAACCCGCAGATTTCTATCGTCTGTGCGTGAAACGTTGATCACGAAGTGGGAACAAAGTCTGGAAACTAATGTCTGCATAACTTAACTTTGACCAGTTGTTGTGAAGCGAGTCCACAGAGAAGCTGAGTCAAGTGTCCTCACTGCTGACTGACAGGGAGATCCAGCGACAGGCCTCTGTGTGTGTGTGTGTGTGTGTGTGTGTGTGTGTGTGTGTGTGTGTGTGTGTGTGTCAGACTTCCCTATTTGTCAGTGTGTTGTCATCTGTAGGTTCAGAGGTGCTGATGAGTCTATGGTCGGTGACATTCGTCTTGACTTCCTGTAAACTCAGTCTGTGCTATGTTTGAAACCTGAGAGGAGGAAATGTGGCTCCCCACATGTCAGGCTCAGGTCATTTTCCCCTTTTCTTTAATATGCACACTTATTTTGAATTAATTTAACTTAAAGGTCCAGTGTGTAAGATTTAGGTGGGAGGGATCTATTGGCAGAAATTGAGTATAAAATAATCCATGTGAGTGTGTTTCATCTAGATTGTATGAATTGTAGTTTTTCCTTTACCCTGGAATGGGCCCTTTATATTTAAATACTTTATATTTACATCAGGAGCCGGTCCTTTCTACAGAGGCAGCCATGTTTTTTTACAGTAACCAAACACAACTGAAGGTTACCACAGGTTTCATGTGTGGAAGGGGAGGGTGAGGTGAGGGGTATTCAGCTGCAACATGCAACTTTACCACTAGGTGTCACTAAATTGTACACACTGAACCTTAAATGGGCCCATAGAGACTGAGCTGACTCTCAAAATTAACTTTAAATTTGCACATTTTAAAAATGATTTAGCCAAAGATGACTTGTACAAATGTCTAAAACCTAAATATATTATGTTCAATTTATTATGACAAAGTAAAGCTGCAAATCCTCTCATTGGAGAATCTGGTGTCAGTGTTTGTCATTAGTTATGGTTTTGTTAAATGAGTGCTTCAGCTCCACTTGCAACACTGTTAAGGTTGCATTCAATTTCTTTTATATAAGTATATAAATTATATATACTTATTATATAAGAACAGAGTCCACTTGAGCTCAAAGGGTGGCCTCTATATATAGGAAGTGTTTTACAGTGTTATTACAGTTGCTGGGCAATAAAACAATATTTGTAAGTATTGCAATATTAAAGTCATCAATAGCATAACAATATGTTAATATTATCACAGTGAAAAGGGAAAACACAGATTTGTAGAATGTTTGGCTCTTAAGTCATTAAAACCACAACCTTCAGGAGCAAACCTTAGTCTTTAAACTTAAAATAGATAATCATGTGACATTCAATATGATAATTATTGAGTGATATTAACATTTTTTAACTTGATATAATTTTTGGTCATATGGCCCAGCTATAGTTTTGAGTCCTTTGGAAGTAGAAATTGCATTTTATTAGGTTCAACATTTCAAGAACCAATGCTGACTAATTACACCCCCAGTAAATTACAACCTGTGTGAATGTTAAAATGCAAAATGTTGTTGAAAACATTTATATGATGTTTTTCTAGGATGTAGTCTGTGGTGCTGCTCCTCTCTATTACATTTAATCCAGAGGTGTTTCAAACATTCACTCTCCCACATTGATATACACTGAATGAAATGGGCACAATGTGAGAGGCACCTTAACAGTATCATGCAGGAGTCTCTTGAGACTGAATGTTATAACCTTGATGAAGGTAGGCGGGGATATTGTATTAGACTGTATTATTATTATTGTGAGGTGTTCCAAATAAACTGGCAGCTGATTTCTAAAAATGTTTCGGGTCAATTTATGCAAATCGATGGTTTGCACAGGGTAAAGAAGATTCTCATGACGGGAGCAAAAAGGAAAACTGTGAGCCATCTTCTTTAAGGAAGTAAAAGCTGTTAGTGGCACACGATGTCATACTCTTTTCGGTTATTCATGAGTCGACACCTCACCCGATGGTGAGGTCATGAGATCCTCTGTCCGACAGATGGCTGGTTGACACAGTGTAGGAGAGCAGCCGTCGCCATCATGCCTCAGATGGACACGACTGACAGTAGCTTCATGCCTTTCACGAGATGTGAACATCCAAGGATTCAGGTGTAGCTTATACAGCTGCGGATTCACTACCTACATGTTTTGAGCTCTGTGTCGAGCAGCTTACAGTAGATATATTTAAGATGAACGTACTGATTCGGAGATTTCAGAGCAGTTCTTGGTTCAAGTTTCCAAGTGGGATGGCTTTGGTCACTTCTCAGTGAATCTGTTGTGGTTTGGGACTGACCCGTGTTCTTATACAAAAAAACTGTGAAAAAATGATTTCCCGAGAGTGAAATGTTTTAAATAGTCACACTTCCTTCTTCAGTGTTATATAGATTTTTCAACACTGACTATCTCTTGGTTTTGAACTGTCGACTACTCTAAACAAGACATTTGAAGATGTGACCTCGAGCAAAGCTGTGATTGGTATTTTGTTTTGACATTTTGTCGACCAAAGAATTAAATCGATCAATTGAATACACGATCAGCGGAATAATCAATGATAACAATTATTCGTTTATTAAAAGCAATTTCTCTACCAATGACTCTTAAGGAAGCCTTTGGTGGTCAGATCTGGGGTCTGGCTTCAAGCAGGAATAAAGTAGCCACCCAGATCAGACATGTTTTTAGGAGGGACAAACTAGAGCTGTTGAAATTTCCCTTGCAATGAAATAGCACAGATGGACATCATCACAAATTACACCACAAGGTAATAAAATGTCCTGATAACATTTTGTTCTAACTGAGAGTAGAATTTTCTTCATGATGTTAGCCAGAGTAAATCTTTGTGCGCCCCCGGGGAGGCAGAGAGAACCTGGACCAGTCGGCACAGGCTCTTGTATGTTTTACGCGACATGACCAGGCCTGCAGAGGAGACATTCTTTCTGAACAGAGCTGAGCTTGTGCAGCGACTCAGACTCTCATTCTAACTCACTGAGACTGTGTGTGTGTTTACTTAATAGGAACTTTGAGTAACTGCAGTGGGGAGTAGTTGCATCTGTCCAACGTTCAGGCCTTGCCAGCTTCTCTTTTCTGTCTGGAATCACCAAACGATAATTATCAGCATCTTTATTACAACTTCTGTGAATTCTGGTTTGTGAGGATTATCAATTTGTGTTGTTTGTTTATGTAACAGGGACAACGTAGATTAACATTGTGATGCAGAAATAATGTCACTGATGAAATTATTTTAATAATCTTTATTCATAAGGCCCTTTCTTGAAGTTACCAGGAGTTGCACAACTTAGATATATCGCCCAGTTTCCAGTGTAATCTAGAAGAGTGCACACTTCCGTCAGAGACATCCCAATCATTATCCAGATCTGCACCAAATGTCACCAGTTCATACGTATTACCACTTGACATATGCTAGATATCTATTCAATTTCTTGAGAGGTTCACAAAAATGTTGCAATGTTAGAGAGAGTGGGGAAAAAATCATTCCGGCTCCCTTAATCAAAACCATTTCAATGATTTTGTTGTGTAATTAGAAATTGTGTCATCACATAGTTTGTCCAGAGGAACCTGCTCAAACACAGTTGCTTCTAATGATCTAAGCACTGTCTGCAGTGATTGCATCACAGCTCAGGGTACGGTCTCGTGCTGTTTTCACAGTAAGTTGTTCACTAGTTGGTGAAATGCGTGACCGGAAAGTGAATAAGTCAATATCTTTACCTATTTTGAATATATCGAGTCCTTAAATTCAAATTTAACCTAAAAAAATCCAGTATTGGTCAGGCTGTAGTGTTTAAAACACAGTGAAGCTGGCTTTGTAGCCATCATCCCTGAAAAAATTACAATAAAACACATTTTAATGATTAATGTCACAATACATAACATTAGTGTTTCCACGCGTTTGTTATTTTTGTTTGATTTAAAGCAAAGACCGGACAATGTTCTGAGATGTTAGTGCATTTCTTAAAGCAGCTTTATTGACAATAATAGCATTTACAACAAGACAAATGGATGAAAGGGACGTCAGTAGAGTGATGCACTGTTTACATACAAATCAGATGCAAATACACTACAAGCGCTGAATGAGAGTTGCTCTGGTTAACTCAAAGAACAGCTGCTACTTTGGCTTTGGTTGTTTACTGAACATGTATTAAAGATACAGTTCAGCATTCTGTACTAACTTGGTCATAGAAATAACACTCTGGTAGCATTCCAGCAGCCGAGCCATGCCAGGCTGGGCTCTGAACCACCGCAGGCCCCGGGGCCCGCGGCCTCAGGGCTGCACACGCAACAACCAGCTGGTTGTGTCCCTGCGCTGCATGTAAAAATCCTAATGCTTGTAGAGTCACATGCTTTCATGACTGACTCTTGAAAATTGATGGATGATGTCTGACACAGATTTATTGCGTGTGTGCGTGCGTGTGTGAGGAATTTACCAAAATAAAGCCAGGATTATTTTGACCGACTCACCTGCAGGCTCATTGTGGTGAAGTGTGTTATTCTGCAGGCCCAGGGTCATGAAGTGACAGCGTGTGTGGTTGTAACTGTGTCTGTTTTCAAGTACAATGTGACCTGTTCACATTTCTGCTCTAACCTGACACAGACTGATTTTCAGCTCAACGTTCACCCTGTGTTTTTCTCTTTCCAGGCCAAGTGAAGGTGTTCAGAGCCTTGTTCACCTTTGAACCCAGAACAGTAAGAGCTTCATATTTAAGATCCATTGTTTTTCTAATGTTTCACGAGGGTTGAAAACCCATTCATCGAGTTCTTTAAAATAAAATAAACTACTGATTAATATGTCAATAGATTCATTCGTCACATCGCTTACATGGATTTCAATACATGAAATAACGGTATTGATCCCAATGAGTATTTTGGTTTGCATTGCTTCTTTTTTTTTTCTTGATTCTTACATTTTTATCTGTGAAAGAGGAAGATGCATGGGAGGAGAAAGTGGGTGAAGGGTTACACAAAACTCAGACTGCTGTGAATACTGGTTAGATTATTTTAGATTTACTGAAATTAGTTTGAGATCATTTTACACTAACAATTCCTTGTTGTTTTTTGTTTTCAGCCAGACGAGTTGTACTTTGAAGAATGTGACATCTTGTACATCTCAGACACGGTAAATTAAACCTCAGATTTATCTTAGTCATCGTGTTTCATAAAATTCGAACAACTTCTTCCTCTTTCTTTTGCCCTATTTGCATTTCATCATTTTCCACTGTCATTTCTCCATTCTATTTATACTTCTCTGCCCCGTTTATCTCACTTACCGCTGTGATTTTATTAAAACAAAGATATCTCCACTTTTATAACCAGAGTGACACTAATTGGTGGAAGGGAACATGCAGAGGAAGGACAGGACTAATTCCAAGTAACTATGGTGAGTAGAAGTTAAAATGTCATTACGTGTATGTGGAGATTGAAATAGAATACAGACCTTGTTCCTTTTATTGGTGAATTTTCGACGATGCACAAATGTGTTTGTTTTGTGTTTTCAGTGGCGGAGCAGGCAGAGTCTATTGACAATCCAATGCATGAAGCAGCCAAACGAGGTGCAGATTCAAATATTTCCAAATATTTAATTTGTTAATTAATAAAATGTCTTTTGACGTTTCTCTACGTGGTGATTCCTTCAGTCCCACACACTTGTGTCTTTGTGGTGACAGTAAAAGCAGTTTTGAACCTGTTCACCTCTGTGTGCACTTTGTGTGTTCATGGGACATATTTGTGTGTTTGGAAATCAGGAAATCTGAGCTGGCTAAGGGAATGTTTGGAGAACAAGGTTGGAATTAATGGGCTGGATAAGGCAGGAAACACTGCCCTCTACTGGGGCTGTCATGGAGGACACAAAGGTAATATCTCTGAGAGTTGAAAATACACTTCAGCTTTTCAGTGCGGTTCAGCTTCATCTAGCAAACACACTGCATTTTCAGTGTGTTTGTGACATGTAGTCAGATTTTTGGACATAGAAGTGAAGTACTCAAAAATAGGAAGTTGTTCTATGAAAGTGTTCCAGTTCCCCGGGGGTCCCCCCCCCCATTGTTCCTGCTTGATTGTTATGTGAAAAGTGTCACTTAATGTTCAATACCAAAATAAACTCTTTTTCTTTGTGTCAGATGTGGTGGAGCTGTTACTCGGTCAGTCCAGTGTGGAGCTCAACCAGCAGGTGAGATGGGTTTTAAAAAAAGTCAAAAGTGCATTCACGAATAATGATAATGACTTGGGATTATATAGCGTCGTTCGGGGACCCAAGGATAGGACAACAAAAACTGAAACAGACCAAGGACAGAAAATAATACAGTGGTTTGTAATACTCATGTGCATGCGTGCGTGCAATCTGATATTGTCCTTATCTTAGTGGAGGAGGTCAGACAGATACTGAAGTCCCACGATGTGGAGGGATCTGTATGTGATGTGGGACCTGAACCCAGTGAAGATGGATTAGAAGTACATGATGCAAATGGATTAGATATCTGCATCTTAGTTTGAGTTCATGCTCATCAGGGTGTTTGTCAGTGATGATATTTCGTTTGTGTCTCAGAATAAACTTGGGGACACCGTTCTGCATGCTGCGGCCTGGAAGGGATACTCTGACATTGTGGAAATGTTGCTGAACAAGAGTGAGTTTCTAACAATGGCTTGTCATCAAAGCATACTAAGAGTGTTTGATTCCAGATTGAGGAAATGATAACATCTTCACATGCAGTGTCATTTTTTTTAGGGTGTGTCTTCCTGTATGTAGTTTCTATTTTGTTGTGTATTTTTGTTTCAGATGCGAGGACGGACATCAGGAACAATGAGAATAAGCTGGCTCTGGAAATGGCCACCAACGCTCAGTGTGCTTCACTTCTGAAAAGGAAGCAGGGAAGCAGTAAGTACAGCTGCCACTAGGGGGCAGCCTTGTAGCACTCATGCCACAGTTTGACTCAATGTAGAAGAAAGCTGCATGTCCATCGTTTTCATGTGGCCTCGAAGATGGGTATTCTAAAATAGTGCAGTGTACCTCTTATTAACTGTTCTTTTCTCTTCACACAGCCGTCACTCGCACACAAAGCAACGCTGAAGAGTATTTGGACGATGAGGACTCGGACTAAGCTGACCCTGTTTAAACACTGCCGCTGTATTCCATTGGGTTTGGCGGGTTGGGAGAGTTTTTATTACAGACCAAAAATGGATTTGCTGCTCTGTTGTCATCTGTAATTCCATTTTTGTTCTATTACTTTGTACAAACACCTCAGTTGTCGGCCCTCTGCATCGCATCAGTGTGAATTTCAAAGCATTGGATTAATGCGGTTTTACTAACTTACTTATTAACTACCCATTTTTTCAAAGTTCATCTCCATGTGCGAGGAGTTTGTCTTGGGTCATCGGTTTCACACTACGGGCAGAGGGGCAGAATTTACAGTACGTAGTTGTGGAAAAGGGACCAAAGCTCTAAAAGCACATTTCAAATGTAGAGATTATGATTAACCTATTTAAAGTGAGAATTAAAGTGCCACTGCAGATTAAAAGATTGATCAGATCTTTGTGTAGTTTTCAAGCTCCACTGAAATTCCTGAACTGCAGAGTCACCTTAAAGGAATCTCTTGCAGCTTAATGCTTTCTCACCACTGGGCATAGTTTATATATATTTATGTACATTGGGGAGACAGAGCAACATGTGTAATATTTCCCTTTAATATGAGGTAGGACACATTTTCCTGCGTTCCCACCTTCCCAATGTGATGTCTTGAAATCTCACCTCTCACTTTTTGTGCTGCAGGTATTTTGGTCTGTGTTGTAACATTTCCACTGCTGTTAAACATCCATCAGTTCAGTGAAACAAAACAAATCTGTGCTGTGTAAAACCTTAGTTTCATCCTTCAAGCTTTTGATGATTAGATTTCCATCCTGGGAGCAATTTTCTGGTTTCATTGCTGCTTTCCTACAAATAATATTAAAGTGCCTTAAATATTTGTGTCTGGTTCTGTCTCAATGTGAACACGTGTCATTCTTCAGATGATTTTGTTTGAGATTTCTATCTGCTTTGTCTTCAATCTGCAATAAATGTTTTTTAACTACAAACATCAGTGAGCAGACTTTTTTAATGAGACAGTAAATAGCATGAAGTACATATGTCTGTAAACTTTAAGACTAAATGTTGAGAGAATGTGTTTTTTTCCCAGTTTTTCAGAAACCATACTACATAATGATAAAAATTGCAAAATTTTGATCTGGACCAAGTTGCACAAACTCATAAATACCAGTCTTTCTACCCAATTTTTATCATCAGGAACAATTACAAAGAATCTTGAATCTGCCCAGATTCTGGTAAGTTTCTTCCTTGGGTCATACTCCACCCCTCTGTGAAATTTCACAGGAAATAGGTGGAGTAGTTTTTGCGTAATCCTGCTTATAAATAAACAGACAAAAACATAATTACTACTTAAAAAGCTTCTCAAGGAAAAAACAAATTCCACTTATTACTAAGTACAAATGCACAAACAGACCTACAGTATGTACATGTAACATGTAGGTTAACGCGATTGTCAACTGTATATTAATCCAAGCAGGAATTCACACAAATAAATCCTCTAAAAACATTTTGAAAAGTCAAAGAATTCCTTTATTACAAAGTCAGCATGTTGATGACATTCCAGAGAATGAGAGAAGGCAGAAAGGCCAAAAGAAAATAGATGTGTTGACAGAAAATACAGCGAGTCCTTCATGAGGGATTTGGGTGCATGCTACATAACCGCCGAACAGGAGAAATAAAAACAGAGTGGTGAAGCAGACAAGAGGCTCTGGACTTTGAAATGATTTTTTTCAACATAGACAGGAACGGCAACTTCAAGTGAAATATATGTCTTTCTGCCTGATGCCAGACACACAGAAGAATTTTTAAAAACTGAAATATATATATATATATATATAAACAGCTCTGTGTGTTTTATGAGTGCACATACAGCAGAGGAAACACAAGCAACTGGTATTTATCAAGAGTGCTGACGAAACCATTTCTGCCTTTCATCTCTCAAAGAAAAGGTATTAAAAGAAAAAGTAGAACAAGTCAGCAGCCATGTTAAAAAAAAGTATAAAAGTAAATCTGAAATGTCTTTTTTCATCGAGCGGATAAGAGGAAGAGAGGAGTTGTGAAAAATGAATGAATTTGTGAAATAAGTCGGGTGCTGGGTTAACTTCAATGTAAGTTGCCCAACAAGAGGATGCAGGGGGAGGAAACATCTTGAGAATCAACTGCTCTCTGGGTTTTCCAGTAGCACAGTCAGACTGAGCAGCAAACAGCAGGTAACTGTGTCAGACCCTGTGTTTCCCATGGGCTTCCATTGTTCCAGTTTTGATCCGGTAAAGTCACTGTAACTTTACAGGATTTGATTTGCTGAACAAACATGGTTCAGCATGTAGTGACCCACACATGCACACAAACACAGATTCATCGTGAAGTAAAACAAAACAGCAGCATTTTTTTAGTTTCCACTCAGAGGCCGTGCTGATTCTGTAATACTACTCAAACATGAATGAGCCCACATGAGATGAATCAAACACTTCTGCACGTTTAAACAAACAAGGCTGCAACCAATTATTCTTTTTTTTTTTTAATCGACTGTGACCGCTATTATCTGGATTCATTGTTCAGTCTTTTAAAAAGTCAAAATACTGTGAAAAATCTCAGTTTCTCAAAGTCAACATCTTCAGATATCTTGTTTAAGTCTGACTAACAGATTCATTTTCTGTCAGTAGACTAATCAATTAATCAGCTGATTATAGGAGGAATATTTCTACCCCTTATTTTTGCAAAGTTCATTAAATTGCATCTTCTAAAAATAACCATTCACCATTTTACAAAGGCTACGCCATGGACTTTTTCTTGGCCAGGGCCTGTTGCCAAGCAACCGGCAGAGACAAGTTGCTATGCCCATTTTAGGTATGTAACAACGGTGTATTGTGGTTTTTGTCATTTGACTGTCAGGAAGAAATAAAAGCATTTTCCAAAATGTTGCCCACTCTTTAAACATCTCAGTTGTTAAATGAAGTTATAATTTTATGATATAAACTAATGCATTAGTCTTTTTTAAAGTTACATTAATTCCAGCGTCTTTCCAAAAACCAATACCCAGCATTGTAAATTAAAAACTTTCATATTATCACATGAAAACAAGACAATCACAAATATGAATCACTACAGTTAATTATACTTAATTTCCCCCTTTATCCTGCTGTTTTGTTTTTGTAACTAATGAGAGCAATTAAGGATGAAGACGCCGCCCCACCAACAAGGCACGTTTGAGCGTAAAACTTAGCCATGTTATATTAAGGCCTTTTCACACACGAGCTGAGGATATTGTTCAGCTTCTAAGAATCACATTAGTAATGATCGCCTCTGTTAGCTTAACCTAAATAGGAAATACAGACATACAAGGCAGGCTTGCACTCTATCTTCATTTCAGTTATAAATATACTGGATCCTCGCTGTCCTGAACTTTTCACGAACTTTACAAAAACAGCCCTTTTAGCCATAAGACAATGAATTTTTCAGATAATTGAATTCATTTTTAAATGGTTCATCAAGGAGTAGGAATTCTCTTAAATCAATAAAGGAACGTAATCTTCCAGTTTGTGTCAAAATGTCAGAAACCACCAGAATCGGAGAAGTGTGGTTTTCACTGGAAACATATTGCACCAATGTCTGCGAATATTCATACAGATGAAAAAGATTAAAAACACATGGCTCTCAACAGGAAAGAATGTTCACAGAAATAAATCTGTATAAACATAAGATTTTATCAAAAAGGGACAATTTCATAAGAACGTTTCAAGGATTTTTTGAAATAAACAAAATGGGTTCAAAACAAAGTGAACAAGAGAACACGTACATTTATCCATCTAACTGCTCCTCTCTCTCTGACACCTCAACAAGAATCCCTTCTTTTAAACATGTCTGTGAATAAATAATATCCGATAATATCAGAGCAGATGAGTTGCACAGTGCAGTGAAGGTTTCACTCTGGCTATTTAATGATAAGATATTAAATAACTAACTAGAAGCTGAAGATAAGTGACTGTGTTAAGTAATACTGACGACCTGATGCACACTATTCCACTGCCATGTACATGCATGCATTATGAATACATGTTTAAACCACTGCTCTATTGCACATTCAGCAGCACAGCAGGTTTTATGAAATCGACATCCTCACAGACTTGATCAAAGGTGCTGACTGATCTTTTCGGACATTGCAGAGTGGCCTTTAAAAACCACTTAAATATTAACTGACCCTGGTCTGAATTCCAGTGGATACAACTTAACGTCAAAGCAACTCAAGCAGATTGTGTCTTTAAACGAAGACTGAACTTAAGACCTTTTAGAATCACATCATAAATATTCGGCCACACGAAAAGCTGTTGCAAATATGTGGAATTACTTGACGCACACAAACTTCCGAAGCTGACAAACGGTATCATCATCACTTCATGCACACGAGTAGAACTGAGAGACTGTGAAACCAACATGAATCTAGTCGAGTATGAAAAGTTAATCTTCACCTTGGAAATAAACAAAGACAATAAAATCTTAACTCGAGGTCCAATTACAGCTTTTTTATCCTTCAACCCCAAAATTTGGGCCTGAAAAACCCCTTAAAAGAAGGAGACATTAAAAAGCTCAGAAAAAGAGTTTAGTATATTAATGTTAGTTAAGATTGGTTTGTCAACAACACGTTGATCCATATGAGTCAGAAAGAAAGCCAGCATTGAGAAGAGGGATGTGACAAAATGAACAAAATTGAGGTTTCATTTTTTTCATTTCATGACATTTTCTTTTACCTCCATTCCCACTCCGCCCTCACCTCCAGATAACACAGAGGTCAAAGGTGTAGTTGCACAAAAAAACAAAAACAAATATCCATAAAGTTTAAACACAGTCTGAGAGTCAGACAAGTGTGTGGAAGAACAAAGTCACACCGTCGACAGCTTCTCACCTTTAGAGCCCGCTGCCAGGCTGCAAGTAGAAAATAATGGAACTCTTCTCTTTAAATAAATAAAG